CATATCGACACGGAGAAGTCGGTGTATGATATACTTTTTCTGTTCGAGCCAACTTGGGCATACCTAAAGTAATATACCAGATAACTTTATCAGGTAACAGCTTGAGTTGAAAATATGTATTTATGATGTGCATTATTTTTTAAAAATTTGGTATTCGGTATTTATTTACAAATATTGAAATATCAAATATTGTACCGAAATACATATTAAATATACAATCTATATGTTATCTCTCTTAATCAATGGAGAGATGATGAAAGTGAACTAAAATAATAATAATGTTATAAGCTTGCAACTCCTCCAAATAATTTTTTTAAATATAGATTTGGAGAATCCCAATAGGGGCCTGATGTCAATTACTTGCATAATATGCTTTCTTAGTTTATAAGTTTTGAGATTTGTCAATATTGACAAAATCAAGCATTTTACCACTTAAAATGACAACATAATATTTGTTTTTATTGCAAACAACAATAATAACATACTCAATATAGTCTCATAAGTGTGGTCTGATGAGGGTGAGGGTGACAAGGCGGGGTGCAACGGAAGAAGAAGATACATTTACAATGATAAACTAATGTTAACATCTTCAAGATGGTTTTATTGCAAATGAAAAATCTTAATCAGTGTATTACACTATAACAAAAATGATCATTCTTAATTGCCACTAAATAGGGATAATGCCCAAGTACCTCCTCAACCTATGTCCGAAATCTCACAGACACACTTATACTATACTAAGGTCCTATTCCCCCCTGAACTTATTTTATTAGTAACTTTTTACCCCTTTTTAGCTTACGTGGCACTATCTTGTGGGCTCAACGATGATTGACTTTTTTTTTCAAACTAGTGCCACGTAGGCTAAAAAGGGTAGAAAATTACATATAAAATAAGTTCAGGGGTAATAGGACCTTACTATAGTATAAGTGTGTCTCTGGAATTTCGGGCATAGGTTGAGGGGGTACTTGAGTATTTTCCCCACTAAATATGTATTTTAAGCGGCATTTGTCACTCTTTGTATATGTCCCTAAATCCTTTAGCGACATTGGTTCTAGCGGCACTTAACTAATGCCGGTAAAGGCTTTAGCACTCTTTATTAGTGTCAATATTTAATGCCGCTAAAGGTCGTTTTTGTTGTAGTGTCACTGAGATCAGCTCCTTCATTTGTTTTTTCAAAATAAATCGGAAAACCCAACAGCAATGGGGCTCCGAACTACATAATTTTCAGAAATCCATCTGAGAGATCCCTGAGTATATATGGTACTTGGTCTAGAAAAAGGTGTAAATGTTACTTGATAGCTCAATTTTTGTTTTACCTTTGAAAAAACAAGTGTAGTTGGTTCAACTTTCACATCAAGGCCTCGCGGTGAATCAATATCAACTCGGTATGTTGAGTTGGCTGTTCCTACATTTGTCACAGTTCTTGAATAAACTTGAGCTTCTGAGTTGTTTCTGACTTGAATTGCGAATGATGGGTAATTTAGTTGACCTTCTAAGATGCTCGTAATCTCTGAACAATTAACTTTGCGCTGCACAATGACAGTAACTTGTCTGTTTGTGTAATTCAAACCACATAAATAAGGTATGTAATCAGATGGCTCAATATCATATACCAGGCCAGGATCATTTGCTTTTGATGGATTAACGTGGCCTGCACCTGTGGCAAAGACATCGGCTGGAAGGTATGTTTCATCCTCGATTAATTTGGATCCGAGGTTAAAGACATCAGCTGTTGTCATAATTGCCGACTTAATTGCAGCTGGAGACCAATCGGGGTGAACACTTTTAAGTAGTGCTGCAACGCCACTGAGGTGAGGACAAGACATTGATGTGCCTGCAATCATGTTGAATGTCGAGTTGGTATTTGTGTTGTTCTCCAAGGAAATAGGCCAAGCTGCTAAAATATTTACACCAGGACCAATAATATCCGGTTTCAGAATTCTAGGACTTGCATAACTTGGACCCTGGAAGAAAATCCAGCAACTACTGGAGCACGATTATCTCCTATTTAGTTCCCTTGAACGCGATTGTTGCAGTGGGGGTTGTTGTTGAGTTTATGTACTCTTGAATTTTTAGACCATCACCATAGGTAACGTGTGTCACAGGTAGGACATGTGCTTCAGCTAATGTTGTGTTAGCCCAGGATTCTGGATTCATAATAATCATTGCAGCACCACCAGCTGCCTTCACTGCTATTCCTTTATCAACTCCTGCTGTTATACCAGCCACACACAACACAATCTTTCCCATGACATTCGTGTTGTTCAGCGAACTAGGGTAACAATATTGAGCAAGAGTGTCACTAGTATTCATTCCAGGATAGATAAGAGGCAATAGTGTTGAAGGAAAGTGACTAGGTTGAAAGGCTGATTCTCCGTCAAATTTTTGATTGTTTCCAAGCACAGCAGTGGCCTTGATTCTCCTATCGATAGTGCTTGCACCAACTGTGAGAATCCAGGGTGCATCATTAGATACTGAAAAAGTGTATGGTCCTGAATTTCCAGCAGAACAGCTGACAAAGATTCCCCTTTCTATAGCACTAAATGCACCAAGTGCAATGACATCTTCATAGAATTGTCTAGATCGATTACCAAGGGAAATTGAAAGTACATCGACACCATCTTCAATAGCCATATCCATTGCTGCCAAAATATCGCTCCCAAAACAACCAATAGCAGAGCACGTTTTGTAAATGGCAACATGAGCGAGAGGTGCAACACCCATAGCTGTGCCATTAGCATTGCCTAAAATGTTAGCACCTGGAACGAAACGTCCAGCTGCTGTGCTAGCAGTATGTGTACCATGTCCATTTTCGTCCCATGGATCATTCCCCGTGTAGCTGAAGTACCTCGCACCAATGAGCTTGTTGTTACACTTAGTGGTATTAAACTGACATTTACCCTTCCATTTAGCAGGGGGAGGTGGCATCCCATCATCGCTAAACGAAGGGTGGTCCGGGAAAATTCCCGTGTCAATAACTCCAATGATCACACCTTTCCCATAATTCGAGTCATTCCAGAACCCTATGTTCTGGTTCAACCCCATGAAATTTACACTATGTGTGGTGTGTAAATCAAGTAGCCCCTCGGGGCGTGCAGAGACAAATCCTTCCATTTTCTCCATTTCCTTTAAATCTTCTAGTGATAACTTAGCTGCAAAACCTGTTATAACATTTCGATAGGAATATATCAATCGTGGTGCTTCACGAGAACTATCTGAGGTTGTTGCAGGCAAGAAAGAAAGATAATAGCTTTCTAAATCTTGATTTCTGGTAGTCCTTTCCCCATCAGGGAACTGACAATGAACAATATAGATTTGTGAATTGTCCTGTTCTGTTGCATTAGTGGTAAATGGAAAAAGCACACAAATCAGCCCAATCATAGTAAGAATTGATCTGTATTGAGCCATTATAACTTTAGTGCTAGTGAAAGAACTGTCATTTGGTGAGTGTTTTGGAATTTTCATTGAGGGTATATATACTTACTGGAAGTATAATTTTTTATTTGCAAGTCAGAAGATATTTAATATAGTCATGCCTGGAGAGATACACACTAAAAACAATTTTATTCTATTTAACTTCTCTGTGACAATGAACTTGGCATAGCAACATCATATAAATGAAGTCATTAATCTACAATATACTTTTTAAGTAATGTTTGAGTCAACTTGGATGCACCTTAACTAATACATGAGGTGAGTTGTTCACCTCGCAAGTACATGTTACCAAAGTAATCGTGCTCATAAAAGTTGGAGCAGACAGACCCCCACACCTTGTGTCGTGGCTGAATTTTTAACCTGAAATCTTCAGATGGTTACTCCGATCACTAGGGCATTTCCTTTGGAACCAAAATAAGTCTATAAGTACACCTAAATTTGAGAGTTGAAAACAAGTTTAATCAATAAAATGACAGAGAACCACGAGGTTGCAGGTTTGAATCTCGGTGAAGGCAGAAGAAAATTAATAACACAAGGATCCATCTTAACTAATGGTGAGATTTGTTGCGAGCGTGCACCTCCCTCCAAATAGGTTCGATGTTAGTTAGTTCTATAAATTTTTAGTTTTGTCATTATTGACAAAATCAAGCATCATTACCACTTAATTTGACATTTTGTTTGGACTTAAAATTTTAGATTCGCGTTTTGGTGACACTATCGTCTATCTAGTGTACATCATTATATTCTCAAAAAGTCATAGCCTGGATAACACCTTTTTAATCTACTAATCTATACCTTACCATCTATAATGATTCTATACCAAAAATGTCATGGCTGAGCTCATACTAAAGAATATAGCCAAAAATGTCATGGCTGAGCTCATACTTAAAATATAACCGAATATGCCATGGCTGTGTTACCTTTTATATTGCACAAATTTCCCCATCAGGAAACTCACAATGAACAATATTGATTTGTGAATTGTTCCGTTCAGATTCATTAGTGGTTAATGGAAAGAGAATACAAATCAGCCCAATTATTATTATAATGAAAAAAAGACAACATAATATTTGTTTTTATAGCTATAACAATATACTCAGTGTAATCTCACAAGTGCGATCTTTAAAGGATATATTTACAATGTGAAGACATGACTAAACAAAGTTAACATCTTGAAGATGGTTTTTTTGCAAATGGAAATTCTTGATCAGTATGTCACTGAGGTCAGCTCCTTCATTTGTTTCTTCACAAATAATTGGAAAACCAAACAGCAATTGGGCTCCTAACAATATGATATTCAGAAATCCATCTGAGAGATCCCTGAATATATATGGTACTTGGTGTAGCAAAAGGTGTAAATGTCACTGGATAGCTCAATTTTCGTTTCACCTCAGAAAAAAACGAGTCTAGTTGGTTCAACTTTCACATCAAGGCCTCACGGGGGATCATGTCAACTCGGTATGTTGAGTTGGCTTGTCCTAAGTTTGTTACAGTTCTTGAATAAACTTGAGCTCCTGAGTTGCTTATGACTTGAATTGAAAATGATGGATAATTTAGTTGACCTTCTAAGATGCTCGTAATCTCCGAACAATTAACTTTGCACTGCACAATGACAGCAACTGTCTGTTTGTATAATTCAAACCACATAAATAAGATATGTAATCGGATGGCTCTATATCATATATCAGGCCGGGATCATTTGCTTTTGATGGATTAACATGGCCTGCACCTGTGGCAAAGACATCGGCTGGAAGGTACGTTTCATCCTCGATTAAGTTGGATTTGAGGTTTATGACATCGGCTGTTGTCATAATTGCTGACTTAATTCCAGCTGGAGACCAATCCAGGTGAACACTTTTTAGTAGCGCTGCAATGTCACTCAGATGGAGACAAGACACTGAGGTACCTGAAATTTCAATGAAAGCGGAAGAAAATTAGTGAAACAAGAAATCACTCTTGACTAATGGTGAGATTATGAAAGAGAATTATAATAATGTTGCAAGCGTGCACCACCCTCCAAATAGGCCTATTGTTAATTACTTTTATAATACAAATATGCTAGCTTCCAAGTTTTATAAGTTTTGAGATTTGTCAACATTGACAAAATCAAGCATTACCAGTTAAATTTGACATTTTGTTTTGAATTAGTTTCATGTTTGTTTTATTTCATACTAAACTGAGTACATTTCCAAGAAAAAATCAAGCATGACAACACCAGTGGATGCAGTCTTAGTAGCACATTAGATTTTAAATCGTAATTTCAAAAGTTTAATGGAAATCAAGATGAATATACTTCCATATAATTTTTAAATCTACTATGGCTTAATAATTTTTTTACTAGCTACAAATCTATACCTTACTAATACAATAAATTGTAAAACTTCATGGACTATTGTTGTGCGGAATTTGAGATAATACGAGAAAATATAAACGCGAAAAACAAGACAACAGATTTACGTGGTTCACCAATAAATTGGCTACGTCCACGGGAAGAGAGGGAACAGTTTTATTATGGAGAGGCAAAAAACAGAATTACAGAATAGGGTTTCCCATAGCGTCTATATATAGTGCTAAGCTACGCCCTAACAGGCTTGGGCCCAACATACAGAATCAACAGAAAATTAAGGGCCCAATACAACAACATTGTATACTGTCGGGCCGGGGGCGTCTCCGCCCCCCGGACCCCAGGCCAGGGGGCGCGTCGCCCCCCTGGACCCCCCGACTCGCTGACCGGGCAGCGAGACCCCGTCCTTTCTGTTTGTAGCGGGTCCAATTCAAGGCATTCAACAACTATCTTTATTCAGATCCCTTAAAACAGATACTTGTTGGAAATATTCTCTTGAATTTTGAAATGTTCAATGTGAATATGAGTTATGTATTACATTCTTCAACAGTTTTAGTAGTTCAAAATGTTGTTTTACTAAAATTATGAGGTTGTCACCAAATTATTTAATTTTTTACTTTAAACTAATTTTTTTCTTTGAAACACACTACAATTTGCAGGTGCAGACCTTTGCAGGCTTCATGCTGAGCATTTTTATATTGCACAAATTATTGAACTTGAGGGAAAAAGAAGTGTTGAAATCTCGATATCTGGTTGACATTTCCTCATCATTAAACTCACTATGAACAATATATATTTGTGAATTGTTCTATTCATATGCATTAGTGGTTAATGGAAAGAGCACATAAATCAGCCCAGTTATAGCGAAAAAGATAAACATAATATTTGTTTTTATTGCAAACAACAAAAATAACATACTCAGTGTAGTTTTACAAGTGTGGTCTGTGGAGGGTGAGGCTGACAAGGTGGGGTGGAACATATGAACACAAGAGTAAACATATGGGATAATAAACCAATGTTAACATCTTTAAGATGGTTTTATTGCAAATGAAAAATCTTGATCAGTATGTCACTGAGATCAGCTCCTTCATTTGTTTCTTCACAAATAATCAGAAAACCAAGCAGCAATTTGGCTCCTAACAATGTGGTTTTCAGAAATCCATCTAAGAGATCCCTGAGTATATGTAGTACTTGGTGCAGCAAAAGGTGTAAATGTTACTTGATAGCTCAATTTTTGTTTCACATCTGAAAAAACAAGTGTAGTTGGTTCAACTTTCACATCAAGGCCTTGCGGTGAATCAATATCAACTCGGTATGTCGAGTTGGCTTGTCCTACATTTGTCACAGTTCTTGAATATACTTGAACTCCTGAGTTGCTTTTAACTTGAATTGCAAACGATGGATAATTTAGTTGACCTTCTAAGATACTCGTAACCTCTGAACAATTAACTTTGCGCTGCAGAATGACTGCAATTTGTCTGTTTGTGTAATTCAAACCACATAAATAAGGTAAGTAATCAGATGGCTTGATATCATATATCAGGCCGGGGGCATTTGCTTTTGATGGATTAACATGACCGGCACCTGTGGCAAAGACATCGGCTGGAAGGTAAGTTTCGTCCTCGATTAAGTTGGATCCGAGGTTTAAGACATCGGCTGTTGTCATAATAGCTGACTTAATTGCAGCTGGAGACCAATCGGGGTGAACACTTTTTAGTAGTGCTGCAACGCCACTGAGGTGAGGACAAGACATTGAGGTGCCTGAGATCATGTTGAATGTCGAGTTGGTATTTGTGTTGTTCTCCAAGGAAACAGGCCAAGCTGCTAAAATGTTAACACCAGGACCAATAATGTCCGGTTTCAGAATTCTAGGACTTACATAACTTGGACCCCTGGAAGAAAATCCAGCAACCACTGGAGCACGATTATCTCCGATTGTAGTTCCCTTGAATGCGATTGTTGCAGTGGGGGTTGTTGTTGAGTTTATGTACGCTTGGATTTTTAGACCATCAGCATAGGTAACGTGTGTCACGGGTAGGACATGTGCTTCAGCAAATGTTGTGTTAGCCCAGGATTTTGGATTCATAATGATCATGGCAGCACCACCAGCTGCCTTCACTGCTATTCCTTTATCAACTGCTCTTGTTATACCAGCCTCACACAACACAATCTTTCCCATGACATTTGTGTTGTTCAGCGAACTAGGGTAACAATACTGAGCAAGAATGTCACTATCATTGCTTCCAGGATAGATAAGAGGCAACAGTGTTGAAGGAAAGTCACTAGGTTGAAAGGCTGATTCTCCGTCGAATTCTTGATTGTTTCCAAGCACAGCAGTGGCCTTTATTTTCCTGTCGATAGTGCTTGCACCAACTGTGAGAATCCAGGGCGCATCATTAGATACTGAAAAAGTGTATGGTCCTGAATTTCCAGCAGAACAGCTGACAAAGATTCCCCTTTCCATAGCACTAAATGCACCAAGTGCAATGACATCTTCATAGAATTGTCTAGATCGACTACCAAGGGAAATTGAAAGTATATCGACACCATCTTCAATAGCCATATCCATAGCTGCCAAAATATCGCTCCCAAAACAACCAATAGCAGAGCACGTTTTGTAAATGGCAACATGAGCGAGAGGTGCAACACCCATAGCTGTGCCATTAGCATTGCCTAAAATGTTAGCACCTGGAACGAAACGTCCAGATGCTGTGCTAGCAGTATGTGTACCATGTCCATTTTCGTCCCATGGATCATTTCCCGTGTAGCTGAAGTACCTCGCACCAATGAGCTTGTTGTTACACTTAGTGGTATTAAACTGACATATACCCTTCCATTTAGCAGGGGGAGGTGGCATCCCATCATCGCTAAACGAAGGGTGGTCCGGGAAAATTCCCGTGTCAATAACTCCAATGATCACACCTTTCCCATAATTCGAGTCATTCCAGAACCCCATGTTCTGGTTCAACCCCATGAAATTTACACTATGTGTGGTGTGTAAATCAAGTAGCCCCTCGGGGCGTGCAGAGACAAATCCTTCCATTTTCTCCATTTCCTTTAAATCTTCTAGTGATAACTTAGCTGCAAAACCTGTTATAACATTTCGATAGGAATATATCAATCGTGGTGCTTCACGAGAACTATCTGAGGTTGTTGCAGGCAAGAAAGAAAGATAATAGCTTTCCAAATCTTGATTATTGGTAGATCTTTTCCCATCAGGGAACTCACAATGAACAATATAGATTTGTGAATTGTCCTGTTCTGTTGCATTAGTGGTAAATGGAAATAGCACACAAATCAGCCCAATTATAGAGAGAATTGACCTGTATTGAGCCACCATAACTTAAGTACTAGTGAAACAACTGGTATTTGGTGATTATTTCTCAGTTTTGATTGAGGGTATATATACTTACTGGAAGTTTACTTTTTTATTTGCAAGTCAGAAGATATTTTAGAAATATGAAATAGTCATGCCTGAAGATACACGCTAAGACGATTTTATTCTATTTAACATCCTCTGTGAAAATGAACTTGGCAGAGCAACATCATATAGATGAAGTCATCACTCTAAAATATACTTTTTAGGTAATATTCCAGGTAACTTGGACGCACCTTACATGAGGCGACTTGTTCAACTCCCAAGTACATGTTACCAAAGTAACCGTTCTCATAAAGGCTGGAGCAGACAGATTCACACAACCAGTGTCGTAGCTGAATTCTTAACCTGAAATCTCCAGATGGTTACTCTGATGGCTAGATCATTAGGCCATCTACTTGGAACCAAAATATACCTAAACTTGAGTTCTGAAAACAAGTAATAGTCAATAAAGTGTATAGAGAATCACGAGGTTTCAGGTTTAAATCTCAATGAAGGCGGAAGAAAATTAATAAAACAAGCATCCCTCTTGACTAATGGTGAGATTATGACAGAGAATTATATTAATGTTGCAAGCGTACACCTCCCTCCAAATATTGTTAATTTCTTCTATAATACAAATATTCTAAACTTCCAAAGTTTTATAAATTTTGAGATTTGTCAATATTGAATAAATCAAGCATTACCACTTAATTTGACATTTTTATTTTGAATTAGTTTCATGTTTGATTTATTTTCATACTAAACTAAGTACATTTCCAAGAAAAAACCAAGCATGACAACACCAGTGGATGCAGTCTTAGTATCATATTAGATTTTAAATCATAATTTTAAAGTTTAATGAATTCAATGTTAAGAGTTCTAAAGATCAAAATTTATTTAGTTTAAATTTTGGATTCGCATTTTGATGACAATATATCTATCTAGTGTTCATTATTTATATTCTTGAAAAGTCATAACCTCATCTTCACCGGATAACATGCTTTTTTTCTAAAAATATTAATTTACTAAAAGTAAACTATAAAGGTACTAATCATGAAAAAGTAACCTTACACTTGATGACCACTTCAAGATAAGGATATCAAGATGAATTTACTTCCATATTTAACTTATTTGGAAATATTCTTTTGGAATTTTGAAATGTTCAATGTGATCATGAGCTATGTATTACATTATTAAATTAATTTTCTAAAATTATTGGTTTTGTCACCAAATTGAATCAGGCAAATTATTCGATTTTTCTCTTTAAACTAATTTTTTTCTTTGAAACACTCTACAAGTTGAAGGTGTGCAGCCTTTTGCAGGGCTTCACGCTGAGCTCCATACTAAAGAACATATTTAAAAAGGGCATGGTTGTGTTACCTTCTATATTGCACAAATTATTTAACTTGAGGGAAAAAGAAGGGTCTAACA